CATTAAACACAGAACATCAATTTATAATGAATACCCATTTGCTAATTAATTAAATCCCCTATAGTATAAGGCACATACAGGTACATGTAGTATCTACTGAATCTTGCCAAAACACTTGTTTTGATATCTCTCTACAGTTTTTCATTAATACTTTGGCAACACTCAGTATAATAAATCAGTTAAAATATTATAGCAGTAATGCATGCATGTATAGTATGTCATGAATGCAAAAAGTAGGTGTGAATTATATTGTGCTGCAATATAAAACAAAATTATTAATAGCTTGACATGCATTATTGATTTCTTGTGAATCAAAATGCAATAGAACCGTGCTATATCACATAACTATGCATGGTTAATAAAAAAAACTCAAAAAGATTTTAAGCACAAGCGTCATAGGATTGTGGCTAATAATGCATTTGTTTCTTGTTTATAAAAGCATTTGTATATTTAGCCTTTAATCAGCCTACACGTATCAGTTTAAGCTAGAAATAAAAGATCATTGTCCTATATATCACCTATGAAATGGCATTTTGTGGATATACACAATTGGATATATATTTCTAAAATGTGTATTTTAAACCAAGCAAATAGCAATGTGTAATGTAAACCTCCCCATCTAAACCCAAATCAATGAAACAAGCTCAATCTAGCAAAATGTGTAACCAAAACTGAAGTGATATAATCTAATCTACCTTAATATATACAATATGTGCCACATTTAGTTTTTACCATCTAGGCACTTTTTATGATACTCTAAAAATCAATCCTATCTTTATCTACAGATTTAGGAATTTTTTGTTCAGCTTTATATGTCTGACTTATTTTCAAATCTAGAGTTGGATTAAGGATGGACTTGAGGATTAGGTAGTTAGTATTCGTCACATTGACAAAGAATGAGGCAATTTGTAGCAAATCAAATTTCCTAATTGAATAAGGCTATATGAGATGCCTTATCAGTATGTATCTAGTGACCACAAATTAACATTCTTTCCACATGCAATCTATCTTTATTCAAAAAATGTTTCAATGACAGTTGTAAACATGTCGCTTGTGTATTAGATGAAAATCTAAGGACTAAATATCCTGTAGAAATTTTCACATCTACTTTCTTTTTCTCATTGCCCGGGTCTCATTTTCTAACTCTCTCAAACCAGTGGCCTCTTAACACTAAAGCAATACACACTTCAGTTTTGAGAATTTTGTACCCAACAGAGAACAAATCCTGTTGATGACAATATACTATTAAAGGGTTACTTACGTTCTATTATTCTCGATTATTTTAACCTTTTTTATAAGAATCACACCATTAGACTTAATCTCTATGGAAATACAAGGAGAGAGCAAATAATACATTCTTATTAAAGTTTTTCCTCTTCTAATTCTAAGCTACTCATAAAACATGGGCTACACTGAAGCCGTAATTGGAAAAATAAATTCTCTCGAGAAATAATCAAAAGTCGATATTAAACAAAATGCATTTGGCCATCTTAACCAGCAAGAAATGAATGTAATCTCAACTTAATGTTGTTTTTCTAGACTGCTTTATTAGTTACACTTAGATTTGCTTTGGGACAAATCTCATATATCTTGTTGAAGCTCATAAGTTTATGAAGATATCAGCTATAGATTGATCAGAGGATCACACGTTCAGTTATCAATAATTCATAGTGATCTATATGACACCAAGGTCAGCACAACCCTAACAGACAGCTACCCTTTCAAAGAGTGGTTCAATTTGTCTCTAATTCTTCGAAATGTTGGGTTTTGATCTTTATTAATCTTGCAAACAAATTATCTTTGAAAACTAGAAAAGCAGCAACTTCCTGGATTTGCCAATAACCACCAGACATGCAAATTAAGCAAAGGCCATTTGACTTGAAAATCTACAAAAACAGCAAATCCTCAGAGTAGCAAATCCCATCAAACCTACAGATAAGCAAAGGACAAAGGACCCCCAAATCTAGAAAAACAGCAAATACCGAGAGTAGCAAATCCCATGGAACCTGCAAACGGACAAAGAATATAAGACCTGAGAATAATAATCTGTAGTAGTCAGAGGTTAAAGTACTGGAAGATACTACAAAATCATACCACCCTGTAGTCACTCAAAAGCATCAACTTTTAAACTTGGTATCCTATAACATGTGTAAGAATTTGAAAATATCTGACATGTGGTTTTTCTTGAATTGTGATGACAAAAAAGGACGACATCACATTCACGACAACGCTATCATCATGGAAAGCAATTTTATGGACAGATATTTTGTGTCTGAGGCACATTCATTAAGTACCTTTTATCAGTACAGATCTAATGTATGTCATTTGCCATCAGATGCATACTGGTTATTGAGTGGAAAATCCAAATGAATAGCAACTATTACTAAACTGAAGGAGGTGATAGAAAAGGAAAAATCACACATAGCTAATGAGTTGAATACAAGCTAAACTAAGTTATTCCTACTTTGACTCATTTTCCAATCTTCCTGTAGACTACTATATCATCAAAAGTGTCTGATGATGGTCAATCTGACATTTTCTGAAAAATCTAAATCTACACCAACACTTTCCCCAAAGAATAAATCCTATTTGATATTGGATTTATGCATAATTAACCATTCAATCAGACTTGAGCTTGTAAAAAGCCAAAAATCAAATACCAGGGCATGTATTTGACTTTCATTATCTATTTTCACAAGTTTATGCATTATTCATATTTCCCGAGTTCAAGGTACCTTTTTAATTCAAAGTCTTACAATGTTACATAAGTTCAAGCAATAACATTCTTAAGATACACTACATGAAATTAATATTTCATTTGGCACTTTATTCTTAGAAAAAGACAACATACTCATAACCTATTCTTCCGCCTGATCAATATTTCTCGAAATGGCCCTGATTTTTGCCAGATGTAATACCTATGGATCTTTTGCTCCTAGTGATAACATCTGACATATGCCTATGAAACACAAAGCTTTAATCAACAGACAAAGACCATAAAATAGTAATTTTCAAATCATTTAGTAACGTTCAGTATGCTATTCATTTATTTTTCATTTGGTAAACGTATGTTTATGGCATATCCTAATGCTCGTTACTTGTCTTACAACAACAAATAGATAAACAAATAGATTTACAATAATGAGCCCATATATTTCCAGAAAAGAGAAATTAAATATATTTAAGAGTGTGTTTGACATACAGAGTGACCTTTCAAACAATTTTCAAATCATTTTGGACATAATTCCTTATTTTGCCCACTCTTTCACCAAACGATTACCCATAACTTTTCACTTATATAATTATTTAAGAATAAAACAATGATTAATAATTCATTTATGTGCTTTATATATCATTTGGGAAATGGATTGCTATACTATTTCAATATATTTCATTTAAGCCCTTAGTATGGAATTTTCCCCCTTATGTCGCACTGACTTATACAATTTCCTTTTATCAAATAGATGAAGAAATAACTGACTTTTCCATTTGGAATTATACTTAAGTATCTCAAATAATTGCATAATCTATAAAATGCCACATTAATTTTGAACTCTACTCAAATATAAACTGAAGTGACATCTTTCTGAAGTCTTGCTCAATAAATGGCAAAATGTGTAATAAAGTTAACTTCTTTCCAATTATCAACTGATATGCCATCTTTGTGAGAGAATGAATGCTGAAGCGATTCAATACACCATTCAAAGGTGTCCAGCAGAAAAAACGTTTTCACAAACTTTGCTGTTTGTGTGCGAGGCCCAAATTCAGATTTAACTCCTGATTCCTAATAAATGATAAATATGTGATATTGTCTTTCATAAATGCAGTCTTCTCATGCATTCTATATATACTTACAGTGTTATGAGCATCAGCAGCAAGTCTGGCAGCGTATCTGGCTATGAGACGATGTTCATCATCTATTCTGTTAGAGTCTAAACTGTTGAATCTGCTATTTGGACTGAAATTACACAAACAAAAATAACAATGAGATTTCCCTTTTCATATTTTTCAACTAATAATTCCTCAAGTTCTATAATAAAATATTAGTGGCTACAAATAGTTAGATCGCTGTACACTATCTGTAAAATATGGATCCCCAAAGTGCAATTGTAAATGATAACAATAATACAATCATTCTAGAAATCAATGTTATAGATTGTTGAATTCCTTTGAGCTTTTTATCTTGTCTACGACTGCCTATATTATTCTAGACAGAGAGCACCTTAGCAAGATGTCTAGACCGCGTAGAAAACAGTGAAAATGTGCGAATGACTTACTTGTTTTATTTTAAAGCCCCAATGACTTAATAGTGTAAATGCATCTAAATAATTGCAATACATTTAAATGCCTGACTGCATTGCTTATAGTTTAAAAATCTCCTAATAAGATTGCCACTGTATTATCAAAACATAAATAAGTTAAGGTCACCAAATATTAAATGGACTCAAAATGATATCTGACTCAATATCCAATGTACTCAAAATAATATGTGACCCAATCACCAATAGACTCACAATGACATGTGATCCAGTGTCCAATAGACACACAATGATATGTGACCCAGTGTCCAATGGATGTACAATGATATGTGACCCAGTGTCCAATAGACACACAATGATATGTGACCAAGTGTCCAATGGATGCACAATGATATCTGACTCAATATCCAATGTACTCAAAATAATATGTGACCCAATCACCAATAGACTCACAATGACATGTGATCCAGTGTCCAATAGACACACAATGATATGTGACCCAGTGTCCAATGGATGTACAATGATATGTGACCCAATGTCCAATGGATGCACAATAATATGTGACCAAGTGTCCAATGGATGCATAATGATATGTGACCAAGTGTCCAATGGATGCACAATGATATGTGATCCAGTGTCCAATGGATGTACAATGATATGTGACCCAACTTTATTTTTAAACAATAACTAGCTATTTTAAAATGTTCAAATGTGTCTCATAAGCCCAGATAGGGCTGGTTGTATGATATGATACAAGTGACACTTTAATAAAATAAATAAATAAATAAATATCCAATGGATGCACAATGATATGTGATCCAGTGTCCAATGGATGTACAATGATATGTGACCCTGTGTCCAATGGATGCACAATGATATGTGACCCAGTGTCCAATGGATGTACAATGATATGTGACCCAGTGTCCAATGTATGTACAATGATATGTGACCCAGTAGCCAATGAATGCACAATGATATGTGACCCAGTAGCCAATGAATGCACAATGATATGTGACCCAGTGTCCAATAGATGCACAATGATATGTGACCCAGTGTCCAATGGATGCACAATGATATGTGACCCTGTGTCCAATGGATGCACAATGATATGTGACCAAATGTCTAATAGACTCGCAATGATACGTGGCACAATATCCAATGGACTCACAATGTAAATGCTGCACACTTTGAGTGAAATAATCCTTTTTATAAATCCTATATGTGTATAATGCTGAATCTCCTCTGCAGTAGGCTTGACTGGTCAAATAGAGAGATGTTCTGACATGTTAGACTTGCAACTATGCAGTGTTCCACTTTTATCCTGGTCTTTATCACTTTACACCCTTACATCCAGACTTCAATATGTATGTTCATTCATCCATCATTGCGTCACCATAAGTATCCTGAGATGGCGATGTGACTGATTACTCACAAGTATAAGCACAATGACACCCTAAGTGCTATGACATCATAAGTACCCAATTGTTTGAGAATGTCTCAACTGCCAAATCCTAAGAGCATGAAGTGAATGTAAGAATTATCTTTTAGGGGCTTCTTGGACTACAAACTACCCATGAGCAATGTTTCTAAGATTTATGCCTCCTTCAATGAGCCACTCAACAATTTATTGAGGAGTTTCCCAGACTGATTTGCCTTACTAAATTCTAATAAAAGTAACAAATATATGACTTTGTGGTTTTCACAGATAACTGGAAGACAAAATTCTGCATTTCTAAGAGTCAACTGCTTTACATCTGTATTGATTATTCTTCAAAAATTAAATAATTCAATAAATTATCAAAACATATTGGAAATAATGAAGTGAAATGAAAATATATAAATATAAGAAACTTCAACACATTTTTTTCATATAATTGTTTTATTTGTTTTTCTGTTCTATAATATTTTTATCTTACAGAGTAATGAGGTCTCATGACTCAACATAGTTGAATGTATGTGTTTTTTACAAAACTATTTAGTCTTAATCAAATCTTGGAAGAAATGCAAAAGGCATGGGTAACATACATGTATACAAGATGTCCTTCAAAGATAAGTAGTCAATGGGAGGAAAAAATGGGACTGAAAAAAGTGTTCAGATTGGAAGGTGTTTGGATTAGCCAGGTGTTCAGATACACAGGTTCTACTGTATTACTATCAATTTAACATCCAGCTGAGCAAGAAACCTGAGAAGATCTCTTGTTTTAGGAATAATCAATTTAATGAAGAAGAACTTGTCATATTTAGCCTTGATGTTTACCCTTTGCAAAAGTTTATCACACACTTTAAATTATTGATAATTCTACAATCTATCCTACAGTGTGTTCACTATCTAAGCACCTCACTCATTTTTCAAGTCATACATATACAGATAGCAATTCATAATATGCAGTCAGAAATCAGCACACTTTCCTACCCTTTTCTACCTATAGGCAGCTGACCTCAATTTCACATTCAAACTCCCATGAAAACCCATGAAAGGTACATTTGAGATCTTAACAGCATTATGGTACTTGGTGTTCTATACCAGTAATTCTATCAATACATTAGGTCCAGCAATAAAGGCAAGTGGAGTTGAAGATCGTGTTGCATGTATTCATTGCTCTCTAGAACACTCAGGAAATGAAGAATGGGGAAACAAATTACCGAGATACCTCAGAAGTCAAACACACAATCTCTGTAATAATTGGCCTAGAATCAATGGTAGCATCCCTGATAATAATAATATATTTGTGCCTAACTTGTTGACATGATTTTATAAGTTATTTTGGAAAACATATTTTGGATTTTCTTGACTTTCTTGTTTGGACTAAGTAGATTCTAGACAAAACATACTTTTACATATACTCCTCATTTAATTTATGTCATCTGTTACTTTCCTAGATTTAATTCAAAATGTTACGCCACTTATATATAGGTTAATCATCATTTGAAATATATTTATCATTAGTTATATCTAAATCATCATATGAAACCTACATCATCACTTTCTATCACTGATAATCATTTTTGAAATATGTATTTCATCACTGTGACTAGTATCATCATTTGAAATATATTTTTTATCATCACTTGATGTCATCACACGATATATATTTTTTATCATCACTTGATGTCATCATTTGAAATATATCTTTCATCATCACTTCTATCTAAAGCATCATTTGAAAGTGAACCAAGAATCAGATGCATTCATCAAAGTGATAGCAAAGAATAAACTTTTAAATAACTGTGTGTTTCCAACATTGCCTCTCTGTCATCAAATCTTAATTACATGACCTAAATAAGAATTGAGATATGAAATGAGTTATTGAAAATGGTTCTGGAAGAAGTCATGAAACAGCAAATTCTCAAACAACATACGCAGTTCATATCGCATGAACATGAAGTCATTTAATTCATAACCAGTTTTGAAAACATATCAAAATGTATATATCTACAGTTTAAGTAAAGAACACAATGTTTGATCATAAATGTGCAATAAGACACAAATCTTATGACTTACCTTGTATGGCATCACAGCAGATAGAAATACATGTATGAAAGAGAGATGAATACACAGATAGCGTATATAATAATCAATGAGTCAAATTACACTACCAAATTCCTCCACATTCAGTTGAGCATACTGTACTCTAATAACAATTATAAGCTATTATATAGGGACTATCTCAGGATTTTCCCAATATATGACAATATGTACAATATATTCCCCAATATATGACAATATGTATTATATATTCCCAACAGATGGGCAATTTGGAGTTTCATAAATTAAATTACCGTGATAAAATCTCTTACAAATAAAAATCCACGTTATGAATCGTCTTCAAATAATCAATAATACTGCATACCTAAAATCCTTGTTTGTTGTCCAAAAGTGTAAAAACATAAAAATGAATCTATGATTTAGAAAATTGTTATTGACAAAACCGTGAAATAAGCTGACCAATGCCCAACCTTTTGGAAAGAGATTATTCCGATAAACACAGAGTAATACTGGATAATTGAAATTCCCATAGAGCAGCAGAAAAAATATCACCACCCTAGAGGAATCGGTGATTACAAAGCGCTGTGCTGCGCTGTATTTTGAGAGATAACATTGTTTGGTTTGAGTGCGTTACTTACAATATTGATTGCTTCACAGAATTAATCATAACAGAGCCACTGACTTCTATTTACCACCATTACTTGTTTACTTGGCAGATAGCGATTAACATTTTCCTAACTTCCACTTGAACAAAATGGGATGCATTAAATAATTCGTATTTCTAGGTTTTTCACTTACTCCATCAATTCTTCATGTAAACAACAATGTTACAACAACAACCATATTTAATGACATTCTTGATGGACTGTAATTCATTCAATCCTTTACTAATCAAATAAATAGCTTTCAGATTAATACTGAATCAAATAAAACATAACATTAGGCTTTAAGACTTAGTAATGAAATAGAAGTACAATGTGAGGCTTTAAGACCTAGTAATGAAATAGAAGCACTACATGAGGTAAGACCTTGTAATGATATAGAAGCACTGCATGAGGTAAGACCTAGTAATGAAGCAGAAGCACTACATGAGGCTTTAAGACCTAGTAATGAAATAAAAGCACTACATGAGGTAAGACCTAGTAATGAAATAGAATCACTACATGAGGCTTTAAGACCTAGTAATGAAACAGAAGCACTACATTAGGTAAGACCTAGTAATGAAATAGAATCACTACATGAGGCTTTAAGGATGCAGTACCGGGTCGGTTTTCACGTCTGTTTGCGCAGGTTTTACTTCCGGTTTGAGAAAGCTAGCTCCCAAGAACGTCATTTTCGCATTTAGTCTTATTCAAAAATTATAGTTTATTTCGGTAATGGTGTTTCCAGAAAAGAATTAAATTGCAAACATTTTATCAAGCATATTTTATCCCTTTCACTTTTATGGGAAAACTTGAGTCACAATTAGTGGATACGAAAACCAGGGTTCGAAAGGTGCCAGCTCTATTGGAAACTCAAAAAAGTAAAAAGATTCATTTTGGGTGGGTAAAATAATATTTTTATTTTGTAATTACCAGACGGTCAATCCTCTTCATATTGCACTTGGATGATGATAACATCATAGTGATACATTGTAAAAAATATGAGCAAAATCTAATGTCTGGAACTTTTTCTACGCTGACCTGGTACTGCATCCTTAAGACCTAGTAATGAAATAAAAGCACTACATGAGGCTTTAAGACCTAGTAATGAAACAGAAGCACTGCATGAGGTAAGACCTGGTAATTAAATAGAATCACTACATAAGGCTTTAAGACCTAGTAATGAAATAGAATCACTACATAAGGCTGTAAGACCTAGTAATGAAATAGAACCACTACGTGAGGCTTTAAGACCTAGTAATTAAATAGAATCACTACATAAGGCTTTAAGACCTAGTAATGAAATAGAATCACTACATGAGGCTTTAAGACCTAGTAATGAATGAAACAGAAGCACTACACAAGACTACATAATGATGGATTACATCAGTGCCACGTGCAACTTAGAATCCTAAGTAATGAATGAATCAGAATATCAGGATATGGAATGACATTTTAGTAGTCACAAGGGTTCTCACAAGCATGATTCACATACAGCGTGTACCTTACTATTACAATAGATCAGATAAGTGTGAAATCTAATAATATGGCAATCCCATAAAGTCTCCCTCAAATCGGGGTTCCCCTAAAAAATAATAATGTGAATATGATAGTAAAAGTAAAAAGTGGACAATCATGGTTTACAGTACCGAGATATAATTTGACAGTCAACAAATTGAAGAATACAAGGTGAAGTGCATATATCTATCACAATTATCTATTCCATGTCCAATATTACTACTGAAACGATCCCCTTGCATGATACCACAAGCTGCTAAAGCCATGAAAATATTGACATTCATAAAATATCAATGAGCTTAAAGCGAATTATAGGTGTTCATCTACTATAGGGAGCTTAACGTTAATTACTCTTTCTGCAAACGACCTTAATGAGGAACTGCATTGATTAAGTATTCAGGCTGGTATTGCACTCTACAACAGTAAATAACACGACCTATCTGACATGTTAACGAACTGGTCAATGAGTTATTCTCCTGAGGTTATCTACGATGTTCGAGGTATTATTGAGTGAGCTGATGAATCGCTAAATGTTTCATTCAGATTGAGTACTTATACACTAGTACCTGCAATAAGAAGAGACTTAGTGCATAGTACCTTAAAATTTTTCTTGTTTTAGGTTAAGTATTGTACTGTATAAGTCAGTGATATTGGCACCTTTAAAGTGTTATGAAGGCTAAAATCAAAAATAATGCATTGCAAGAGCTTGCTTTTCCTTGAACTATTTTCACAGGATATCTTTATCTAAGCCTATATCCATTCATAATATATAGCTAGTAACCTACTATAATATACTACATTTTCTGCCTATAGGAGCTGACATTCATTACACATTCAGTCGCTCATAAAAAACATAAAAGTTACATTTGATATCATTAAGATCTTATCTGTATCAAAATTATAAGTTAAATATAGAAGTTAGAGGATAGGCTGACAATGGAAATGTAGGTAGAATAGGTCTGGTCAATATACAATAAAACATAGATATGGTATAGTATGGTTTGAAAATACATAGGCTGAAAATTTCTCAGTTAAAAACTATACTTTCACTCACCCTAGCCACAATACCCTCTGACTATCAAGATAAGTTACACTTTTGATGCTTTTGATGATCTCAAATGGATCTTTCATGGCGTTTTTTAGGAAGTATGATAATGGATGAATCTTAGCTATCAATATACAAAAATATAGTGTTGTGATTCCCTAGTTTCATAATCTGATAGGATACTGGCTCAAATCAAAGAATCATATCTGATTCAAAGAGGTCAGATAAACTTTAGCTCTTGCGAAGGGTTATTCCAATGGTACTGTATTATATTGTACCATATTCCATGCAGATACAATATGCAAGAATATATCATATCTATAAATATATTTTACTTCTAACAAAATGAATCAATCTCAGTGAATTACAGGCTGAATCCCCATCTAAATCTCATTTTACTCTGTAATTTCCTTACATAATTGGGACACATTACAAGTTACTCCTAGAGAGAGAGGAAGTGGAACTTGTTCACTAACGAATTGTTCAGTAACTTGTCATCCTCCAACAAATGACTACAGGACTTGTTCTCTCTGGATCTTAGAGCCATGCAGGTGGAGGGTGGTATAATGTGTCAAGACATTTAATTATATGTGTCAGTTCATTGACCCATGAGTAACTAAGATAGCTGAATTGGTGCATTTGTATATGAGCCAAAAACATCCACTATTGTCGAGTTTCAAATTCTCAATAGAAAAAAGCGGAATATAAATGTACAGCATGTTTCGAAAGTAATTTGACTAGTGATAGCACTTTGTTAATTCTACACCAAGTGTCTTCAAAATTTTACATTATGTACTTTTAAGTATTCCAAGTATTTACTTCTGGAACACCCTGTATATACTATAGCAGAGCTTTTAGACTTTATGACAAAGGGTAAGACATTCACCTGTCATGACCACTTATCTATTTTAAATTGCTTTACATCCTTCAATGCAGAATTGCAATATCCATAATAATATTTGTTTCCCCTTCACCCAGGATAATCAATTCAAAATAGGTCAAGCTTATAACCTCGTAATTAATAGATGGTGCATAGATTTCATTCCCAGTTATGATATGACTGCACTATATCTGCACCTATTGTATGTTTGGAGGAATTCAGATTGAGGAAGAAGGAGAATGGTTCTACAGCCCTGCAATTGGAGGTTGGAAAGGCTACACTGATGGAGTTTAACACACTGTGATTGTCCTGGACATACCAGTTGTATCAGTTCTTGCTTTGCAGCATTTCAAGACAGTTTCAAAGCTTACCTCAGCTTTTGTTTCTCCCCATTAGCTGCCCTGGGAAGAGTGTCTGGAGACTTATTCATATTGCCTGATGGAGTCCTGTTCATAGTGCTAGGGGGTGTCCGCGTCATTGTTCCTGGGGGTGTCCGCGTCATAGTCCCTGGGGGAGACCGTGTCACTATACTATGGTTGTTGCGGTTCATTGTACTAGGGGGTGTTAGGGTCATGGTCCCTGGGGGCGTACGTGATGATCCCGCATCGATTCCAGAGCGAGAATCAAAACTAGAATAGTGGCGGTTTGGACTGAAAGCATTAAAGAGATTATTATTAGATTCCTATGTAACGCAATAAAAATACCTCTTTAAAAACCTTTTACCATGATCTGAATAGCCTTCAGCTGTAGAAATAACATATTTGTTATATAACATTGCCGCATAATTATAGAATAATAGAAGCAATATATTAGCATGAAAAATAGAGCATTAAGTCAATACGCTAAGGATAAAAGAAAGAAAAATATTGGATCATTAATCCGTTAAGAGAACAAAGCTAGAGTATTCAATCATATTCAATGGAGTCAGATCCCACAATGGCTGAATATTCTATTTAATCAAACTGATTTCATAATTAATATTTGGGTAAGATTTCTGTGTATTTTTGTATGTAATGTCATTGTAGATATGAATATGTGGGAGTAATCCTCACTTCAGTGCATGTTACATGGTTAAGTAAGTGTCTAAGCAAGCAGTTATAAAAGAGACAAGCAAACATGTACAAATTAGATTAGTAACTTTACAATGATTCATTTCAGTGCAATCAAACAATTGATAACCTAGTATTCTCCATTTCTTCCGTTCCGTTCAAGGATATGTTTTCGAGCTTGTTCTGAATTATTGATTTTGGAAAGTCATTTCAGACGATGAAATGTTGCTGTCTGACCTATAATACGTGACCATGACCTACTCTTTCTGACCTTGATCTCCTGAACTGAACCTTGAACTACCGTACTTGACCTTCAAATAATATAACTGACCTTGAACAACAGTATCTGACATAGACCCCCTTACGTGACCTTGACCCAGTGTACCTGACCTTGAAACAATGTACCTGACTTTGAACTACTATACTTGACCTTGAACTATTTAAGCTATGGTAACCCTGAACTATTTTGCCAGACCTTGAAACAGACATCCTCAAGACAGAATAATCATATTATATTGTCTCCTTGTACATGTACATTTAATATACACACTTGAAATGTGAACGAATATTACATAAGAATATTGTCCAGAATTATGATTTTTTCTTTTCAAGAGCAAACTGCAACATCTTATCTTGTACAAGCAACACTTTATTTCCTCACCATGGGAACCCAATAAATCTAGAATTTATGGAATATTTCATCGGAAGTTGCATCAATTTATTATTTCCATGTTTCCTTAGTCTTCTACTATATTAGTTACGATGAATGCTGAAGAAGACAATACATATAAAAATACCCAGTGTTATCAAGTTGTGATTATATGGGCATATTTTATGAAAATGAAATAAACAAAATTATTTACGAAATTCTGTATTGAAAAAATCTGATTCTGAACTAATTCATATACAATTGTACAATGTCATGTATATAATGCAAGGCAGGCTTCTCCAGGTAAAACCTGTTTTACCTACTTGAACCAAGTCATTGATAATCATAGATTAAAACTTAGACAATGATGATTAGTGGTTAACATTGTGACAAACATAGAAACATGCAAAATGTGCTTTCTAGGTATGTCTTACACTTAATTCCACACAAAATCACTTTTGATCATGAGATAGGTGATAAAATCAAATTTTGATCATAAAAATAGAAAAAATTCCTCGAGATTCTATATCTTTAACTAAGTGGTCAAACAAAATAGATTTTGTATAGAATTTAGTAGAAACCATTGAGAAGACCCCTAAGCAGCATACCCCTGGATCACCATGGGTGGACAAGAAGCAATAGGTAAAGTCCACCAATCTTTATGCAAGCTATAATAGTCAACAATTAAACGGACAGAAAAGGGCAGACATAAGTTGATGGTAACATTTTCATTTTAGTGCCTTTTTCAATTTTCAACATTATATTATAATTGGTACTATTAGACACTACATAGTACCATGGCTGGTACTGTTGGACACTACATAGTACCATGGCTTGTACTGTTAGACACTACATAGTACCATGGCTGGTACTGTTGGACACTACATAATATTATGATTGGTACCATTAGACACTACATAGTACTATAATTGGTACCATTGGACACTAAATAGTACCATGCCTGGTAGTGTTAGATACTACATAATATCGTAATTGGTACCATTGGAAATACTACATAATACTATGATTGGTACCATAGTACGGTTCACAGTATTATAACTGGTACCATTGTAGACATTATATGGTACTATTGAACACTATACATAGTGCTATGATTGGTAGACACTACATAATATTATAATTGATACCATTAGACATTACATAGCACAATGATTGGTACCATTTAACACAACATGTACTAAGATTGGTACCATTAGACACTGCATGTACATGGGATTGGTATTATGGGACACTGCATATGATTGTTCCATTAGTCCCAATGTATGATTTGACAAGGCATTAACATGACAAAATGTCACCACCTAGTTGCTCACAATATTATGAGTTCAAACTTAATATAAGTCAGATTTGAATTTCTGAGAACTTGTAAAGTCAAATTTGAACTTCTGAAAAGATGTAGATGATTTTGAAAAAAAAATTTGGTCAATTTGAAGCAAGTTGAAAACAGACCTTTTTGACCTTTTTTGACCTTGAGAAGGTCATTAAAGGTCAAATGTCAAATCTAAAGTCAGATTTGAATTTCTGAGAACATGTAGATGATTTTGAAAAAAAAAATTAGTCAATTTGAAGCAAGTTGAAAAAAGACCTTTTTGACCTTTTTTGACCTTGAGAAGGTCAAATGTCAAATCTAAAGTCAAATCTAAAGTCATATTTGAATTTCTGAGAACATGTAGAATGTAGATGATTTTGAAAAAAAATTTAGTCAATTTGAAGCAAGATGAAAAAATACCTTTTTGACCTTTTTTGACATTGAGAAGGTCATTGAAGGTCAAATGTCAAATCTAAAGTCAGGTTTGAATTTCTGAGAACATGTAGATGATTTTGAAAAAAGATTTTAGTCAATTTGAAGCAAGTTGAAAACAGACCTTTTTTGACCTTGAGAAGGTCAAATGTCAAATCTAAAGTCAGATTTGAATTTCTGAGAACATGTAGATGATTTTGAAAATTTTTTTTAGTCAATTTGAAGCAAGTTGAAAAAAGACCTTTTTGACCTTTTTTGACTTTGGGAAGGTCATTGAAGGTCAAATGTCAAATCTTAAGTCAAATCTAAAGTCAGATTTGAATTTCTGAGAACACGAAGATGATTTTGAAAATTTTTTTTAGTCAATTTGAAGCAAGTTGAAAACAGACCTTTTTGACCTTGAGAAGGTCATTGAAGGTCAAATGTCAAATCTTAAGTCAAATCTTAAGTCAGATTTGAATTTCTGAGAACACGTAGATGATTTTGAAAAAAAAATTTAGTCAATTTGAAGCAAGTTGAAAACAGACCTTTTTTGACCTTGAGAAGGTCATTGAAGGTCAAATGTCAAATCTAAAGTCAGATTTGAATTTCTGAGAACATGTAGATGATTTTGAAAAAAAAATTTAGTCAATTTGAAGCAAGTTGAAAAAAGACCTTTTTGACCTTTTTTGACTCAAATCTAAAGTCAGATTTGAATTTCTGAGAACACGTAGATGATTTTGAAAATTTTTTTTAGTCAATTTGAAGCAAGTTGAAAACAGACCTTTTTGACCTTTTTTGACCTTGAGAAGGTCAAATGTCAAATCTTAAGTCAAATCTTAAGTCAGATTTGAATTTCTGAGAACACGTAGATGATTTTGAAAAAAAAATTTAGTCAATTTGAAGCAAGTTGAAAACAGACCTTTTTGACCTTTTTTGACCTTGAGAAGGTCATTGAAGGTCAAATGTCAAATCTAAAGTCAGATTTGAAGGTCAAATGTCAAATCTAAAGTCAGATTTGAATTTCTGAGAACATGTAGATGATTTTGAAAAAAAATTTAGTCAATGTGAAGCATGTTGAAAAAAGACCTTTTTGACCTTGAGAAGGTCATTGAAGGTCAAATGTCAAATCTAGTCAGATTTGAACTTCTGAGAACATGTAGATGATTTAGAAAAAAATTGAAGTCAGTCTAAACAGTATTTGTTAAGTTATAGGAAGTTGTAAGAAATTGTTACAGACGCCGGACGCCAACCGCCGGACGCCAACCGCCGGACGCCAACCACCAACCGCCGGACGCCAACCGCCGTCGCAAAAAAAAACGGAGACCATAACAATATGTCACCACTTTTGGTGGTGACATAACAAATAGATTGATATGATTAAAGCCCTAATGCATTGGCATTCCACATGAATGGTATCACTATTACAGGGTGGGCCAAAAAAAACCACCCCCCTAGCCATTAATTCTGATAAATATTTATTTTTTAACATGTACACGAACAATGATATATCATTTTAAAGATAATTTAATTTGCAACAAAATGATATACAAGGGGCGATCCATATATTCTGATAAAAATGCTCTAATTTTGTGATTTTTTCACATATCCCTCTCATTTTTTCAGAAAATGTAGATTATGTAATTACACATACAATGCTAAAATATTATAGCTATATCTTAAATTATCAATGAGATAAGGCTGCCATGGTAACCTGTATTAAGGGTAGGCAGGTCAATTTAATTAAAGCATATAAATATCAAAATAACTTGTTATTTTAATTATTTTAAAGCATACAGAAATCATGCATTTTTTCTAAAAAAGTTTGGTATTGTTACTCATTGTTTGTTGCTAAACAAATGTTTATATGTGCTCACTATAACATCACAACAAATCACAATAGCATTGTAGGACAGAATGGGCCAATTGACATTACATGTTATGAGACACACCAAAAATCAAATTGTCAGATTAGGTTAATGTGGCTGATGCAGAGTGTCACATTAACGGATACATTAGGGAATACCATTAGAATTGATTTTCTTTCAAGAATAAGTAAGAGGACACTTTCAGAGACATTCATGGACTCATAAAGTGCATGGGCAAGGTGTTATATCTGCATAAAGAATATATAGGTAGTATTGTAAAGAGGAAAGCATGGTCACTGTTGAAGATCATCCGCAATCTGGTTGTAAGAAGAGCTTGCGGACAGA